GCAGCAGTTACCAGCAAAAGGAGCGATTGAATACCCCTGTTTAGGTCTAGGCCTCCGGGAACCAGCGGAAACCTTGCATGAAGCAATATTGCGTGTTTTCGAAACCGTGATAGCGAAATGCGAAGGGAACTTGTGAAAACCACAAAACGTTTTTTCCACATGCTGTGAATGTAAAGCAGGTGTTTTGTGAAGACAGGATCCTGTCTGTCCTAGAAAAGACAGGATTGATTTTTCCTTTTTTGAGCTGTGAGAAGAGATGGATACACGTACGATGGCTCAAATTTGCCGGATGCAGCTAAAGTTGATAAGCACATTTTGCTTATGTAGAACCATGGAGGAAGGACACAATTTTTTTTCAGCCCTAAACTGTGACACGATTTACAAAATTCCACGAAACTTGGTGTTAGATGTCACAACACCCCCCCCCCCTGACCACATACCATACTGTTTAGGTCTGGAGTGTAAACTCCTCGCTCATCACGAACTCAACGGATCGCACTGTAGCAAGATCCACTGTCGCGTCAGCCCTTGACACTCATGCCCACTCAATCTTAACGATGCTCAGATGGCACGGGGCCACTAAAAAATTCATTGAGCCACTGCATTCTCCAAAATCAATGGCCCAACCAGCAGTGGTCATTTGAGGAACACTGCCACATTTTCAAAACTTTCCTCACATTTTATGACTCGTGTTTTAAATCACCGGCGCAGCACTTTCAAGTTCACGGTATAATTCCACAGCCTGAACAGTTGTGATTTCCTGCTTAATGTACGAGGCTCATGTGCTACGTGTAAACACGTAGCTAGCGCGCAGCGCGACTGTTCATTGCACGGTCGACAGTCGTGCATAGGCTACGGCTCATACTCTTGCCAATGACCTGAGTAGATGTTGGCTGGTATAATTTTCTAACAATGCCAGTTTACTTATATTCCTTCCCAGTTTATATATATTCCTTCGCATGGTGCTACCGCAAGCCTTTCCACCTATTGATGTCTTTCTCACCATGAATAGCCTGAAATTACATCCAATGCCAGTTTAACGTCCTCTCCCACGGACACCAATGAAACCTTTAGTGAGGTCGTGTCGTGTTGCACCTCAGGCCGATCAAGCAACATATATGTAACCTCAAATTAAATTTGTGAACTAGAAAAATACGTACATTTTATATATCCAACTAATCGAGTTCTGGGAATTAAAGTACACGTAACTGGCACTTCCTGCGACATCATTTTTCTATGTGCAGCCACGTATAGTTTTGTGTGTGTACAGTGAATTGCCCAACGCTATTTTAATGCATGGACTGGTTGCCGCGTTGCCATCACACCTTTTTGGCAGTAGCACGGCGCAGCGGGAACCAGCGGAAACCTTGCATGAAGCAATATTTCGCACGTGTCTTCGAAACCGTGATTAGCGAAATGCGAAGGGAACTTG